TCTGTTCTACCCAAGGTTAGCTGGTAGAGAATGCCATATAGCATTAAGCTCGCCTTTTGTACAAAATCTTTGGTGCAATAAAGAATAAAATAAATAAAATAAATAAATAAACCATAGGAAGCAACATAACTAAACAGATGCGTAATATGAAATGGCAATGGGCCATAGCAAGGCAAGTCACTCGAAGAACCCACAATCGATGGGTTAGGCAACCTACTCCGGTAAGCGAAGTGTAGAGCGGCACCCCACCAGATGGAGTGAAGACCTGGTAAGGTATGCAGAAAGTAGATGGATGCAGGTGGCCCAGGACCATGCTTTGTGGCATTCCTTCGGGAGGACTGTGTTCAGCAGTTGACTTGTAAAGGTCTGTTATGATGAAGATGATGATAAAGCATTGTTGACGGACTGCACTATAGTATGTGCCAAATCGATTGAGAAAAACGGACAATAGCCTCAGATATTAGCCGAGTGTGAAAAGGCGTAACTTACAAAATCTCAATTTAGATGTGATAACAATAATAAAAATATTAATTACTTCGCAACCTTCCGCTAACTAAATACAATGATGTGTCTTACCTGGATTGAAGAGCACCTCCCTCCCTCCCTCAATTGCATGCACTAACTCCGTCACCACTAGTCCCAGCACCACTACTCCCAACACCACTACTCCCGGCACCACTACTTCCAACACCACTATTCCAGGTAAGACACACCATCGACGATAATATGACACGTGTTTCGCCTCTACACGAGGCATCGTCAGGTGATGTAGACTCTACGGCGACTGACCACTAAGTCACTTAGAGTTAGTGCATGCAATTGAGGGGGGCGGAAGGTGCTCTTCAATCCATGTAAGGCACATCATTGTATTTAGTTAGCGGAAGGTTGCGAAGTAATTAATATTTTTATTATAATGAATTTCAGCAAGTTACGCCTGATTCTATCAATTGTGTTAACAATATTTAAATATTGATATTATTCGCACTTCTAGTTCAGCACATAAGTTTTGTTTTTTTTGTTTCTTAAATAAAATTGTCTGTGGTATATTATAATATAATAAACCTATGAACATCGTAAAATCTTACCGTACATCGCGAAAAATGTGTTATATTTTATATCTCAATTTATGGTAAATAACGCAGCAATTCATTTAATAACGGTTTCATATTGACAAAAATATTTGAAGCAATATAATCACCATATTGAGCTTTTGCAAATTCATCCCTTTAAAATAAACAAAACGCGCGTTACGTCAGTTCGTTCTATAAGAAACGTGAAAATGGCAGCCAAAGATGCGTCACCTTTTTTGGGCCGGTGCGCATGCACCGAATAAAAATAAAGTTCTTATATAATATTGAAAATAAAGTTTTATCTTTTGAATAAATACGTACTTACTCGGTGTCGTTATACTCGAATCTTTATAATATAACAGTGCGGCAGCTTTGCTGTTGCACGTATGGGCCGGCTCAAACCCGGATGGTACCATGATCTCACAGAATACCGGCGTGAAGTGGAAGCTCTGCTTCCGTGTTTCGTCTGGTGAGTGTAGGTGGCCGGAGGCCCAAATCAACATGGTAGTGGAATTAAATGTCAAACTACCCTAGGAGGGTACCAGCACTCCTGAAAAATTCCTCGCTGAGCATCCACGACCTAGTTACTCCACTCCTGAGCGTGGGTGCTCATGCTGCCCCGCGTATTCTGGGGGGGCAAAATTCCGCTCAAGACTACAACTGCTCACGACAAACGGAGCAACAAGACAAAGCCGAGCCCTGCCACGATATCCGTGAATTTCTGCAATATCAGGGGACTTCACCTTAACGTAAACGCCGTCCACTGCTATCTCGAGACGGCGAGGCCAGCTCTGCTCTTTCTGACCATAATACGGTACAACTGACACTCTCCTCCGTCTTGAAGGTTCGGACCTATCATCCTTTGGCTACGCGTAGACAGCGACAACCATCCGCGCGTCTACGGGTGTCTCTATAGATCCCACAACGGTAATGCCGAAACAGACCGACTCCTCGACCACGTCCAAATGGCTACAGATTCGTTGCTACAGCAGATCCCCATCGCAATGATAGTGATCCTCGGCGTCTTTAACGCCCATCACGCCGAATGGCTTGATTCACGTTTAACCGATCATGCGGGGAGATCTGTTCATGATTTTGCCTTGGCATTTGGTCTGACACAACTGGTTGCTTCGCCTACGCGGATTCCAGATCTGGAGGATCATGCACCTTCCCTGCTGGACCTTCTGCTGACTCTTTAGACTCCTCGGACCATTGTCTTGTCCGGAGTGTCGGCTGCCGCCGTGTTTGGCACTATAGGTCAGCCGATTGGGATAGAATGCGGTCTTTCTTTGCATCCTACCCTTGGGGGCAGGTTTATTTCTCGCCGGACAATCCCAATGTTGTTGCGGATTCTGCCGCTGATGTGGTACTTTAGGGTATGGAACTTTTTATTCCTTCTTCTGTAGTGCCCGTCGGAGGCAAATCTCAGCCATGGTTTGGTCGCTCCTGTAAAATAGCATCATGCATACGCAGGAAGGCTACCAAGCCTGGGCTGACGCATCAAAGTCTCGGGATGTAAACACCAGCGCTCTAAAAAAGAAGTATAATTCCGCCTCCAGGTCCTTCAAAAGAGTCATTGCCAAGGCAAAGTCAGAGCACATAGGCAGAATTGGCCAGAAACTAGTTGAAACAAGTTCGCCTTCCTTCTGGAACCCGTGCATTCTGATCTCTCGCCAAGGCTGTCCAAGGGAATTTCTGTCAGACATCTCTTCCAACTCTGCACAGGGAGGACGTCTCACTGGCCCATACCGCAAAGGAGAAAGCCGATCTGCTAGGCTCTTTTTTGCGTCCAACTCGACTCTCGATAACGGGGGGAGTACGCCGCCGACCATCCCGCGGTATGAGTGCTCCATGCCGGAAGTGCAGTTCACACAGCGCTTGGTTCGCAAAGCACTCCTCTCCCTGAAAATCCACAAGTTGAGTGGGCCTAACGAAATCCCCCCAATTGTGCTGAGGACGTGTGCGCATGTGTGAGGTTTTCGTCGGCGTCTTTTACGGTACTCCTACTCCCTAGGCGTAATCCCAAAATCATGGAAGACGGCTTTCGTCCACCCGATCCCTAAAAAAGGCGACCGCTCAGACCCATCCAACTACCGGCCTATCGCTATCACCTCCTTGTTCTCCAAAACAATGGAGTCCATTGTAAACTGCCAGCTCATGAGGTACCTTGAGAATCACCAGTTGATTAGTGATCGCCAATACGGTTTTCGTCGTGGTCGATCAGCTGGTGATCTTCTGGTCTACTTAACTCATAGATGGACGGAGGCAGTAGAGTCAAAGGGGGAGGCATTGGCCGTTAGTTTGGACATTGCAAAGGCCTTCGATCGGGTTTTGAACAAACCGCTTGTTTCGAAGCTCCCTTCCAATGAGCTTTCCGAGAAATTGTGCAATTGGATCACCAGCTTTCTTGCAGATCGGAGCATCAAGGTCGTTGGAGACGGTGCAAGCTCCGATTACAAGCCTATTAATGCTGGTGTTCCACAAGGCTGCGTGCTATCGCCAATGCTATTTCTTCTGCATATCAATGATATGTTGCAAACCCGTAACATTTATTGCTATGCAGATGACAGCACTGGTGATGCTCTGTACACCGGCCGTGCCAATATTTTTCGGGAAAACGTCTTCGAGTACCGGTACCGGGACAAACTTGTGTCTCAAGTCGTCGAGTCTCGGATTGGGGGCAACTAAATCTAGTCCAGTTTAACCCCCAGAAGACACAAGTTTGCGCGTTAACCGCAAAAAGAACCCCTTTGTCGTATCTCCTCAGTTTTAAGGCACACCCATTGTTGCCTCAGCTAGTATCGGAATCCTCGGCGTCGACATATCGAGTGACGTGCAGTTTCGTGGTCACTTGGAAGAGAAGGCCAAATTGGCCTATAAAAAGCTTGGTGTGCTCAACAAAGCGGGACAGTATTTCATGCCGGCACACCGCCTGCAACTTCACAAGACGCAGGTTCGGACGCACATGGAATACTGTTCCCATCTCTGGGCTAAGACTCCCCAGTACCAGCTCCTTCCACTTGACCGCATCCAGCGCAAAGCGGCTCGAATCGTCGACGACCGAGTGCTTTCCGATCGCTCGCTCGATTGCCGAAGAGATGTGCATCTCTTTGCATTTTCTTTCGCATATACCACAGGGAGTGCTCTGAGGAATTAATCCCAGCCACCAAATTTCGTGAACGCACTACGCGCCTAACGTCACAATACCATCCACACCATTTGGATGCACGGCGGTCCAGCACTGTAAGTTTCACAAGGAGTTTTCTTCCGCGTACGACCTCTCTGTGGAATAGTTTAATATATATAATAATTCCCCTGGTGTTGCGGTTGATCATGGGCGGCGGTAGTCACTTAACATCAGGTGAGCCGCATGCTCGTTTGCCCCCTTTTACATAAACAAAAATGTGTTATAAATTAATGCTTTTTGTTGTTAAATGAATAAAGTGCTTTATAACAATAGATGATTTTTCTTCTACAGCGATCTTTTACATAACTTTTTTATAATAGTTAATAAATATATATTATATCAATCATTATTAAGAAAATTAAAAAAATCATTATAAATAAAGAAAGTATGTACTACATAAAAAATCTGCCTATATGTTGAAGGTTACAAACCTTCAATATATAGGCAGATTTTTTAATCCCTGGTTAAATGACCGAAAGGTCATTGTCCATTTTTCTCAATCGATTTGGCACATACTATAGAACATATTATTTTTGTATGGAGCGAAAAATAGATTAAACCAAAATATTGTGGAAACGAGAGGTTTATGAATTTTATTAACAAAAATTTACTATTAATGCAATAAATAAAGTTCTGTAATATATATAAAAAGAATACTAAAAAGAAAGATTAAGCAATATTTTTTCAAAAGGTACAATTTTTTGAGCTCCACCCAAATATAGTATAAAATAAAATAAACTTACTTTGTTGAGACACATAGTGGCGTCTTAACTCTTGGTCAGATCTTTCACACTGTTGTTTGAATATGTATGCACTGCTGAGTTTCTGAATGCACTCTGTGCATATCTTATCAGGCAATCCATCACCCATGTGTATCTATTAAACAAATAGATAAAATGATTGACAGTAATTACTAATCAAAACTGCAATTATTATAATGGAAAATGTTACATTACTTTAGGATGTAATTTTAAAGTAAGAAAACTAAAATAGAAAGATAGAGAAAATATTTACCAAAGAAGGAAAACATTGTTCCATACCATAACCCTCTCAAATATTCTAATAACTTAGCCCAGCATTGGGACATACATATATATGCTGTAACTTTACAATTAATACAAATTAACCTTTAACATTTGGTATTATAGCTTAGCTGTAAAATAGTAAGGCAGGAAAGAAATATGTTTATTAGGCACATTCATTATAACAAAGAAAAAAATACTTTTCATATTAATAAAATTGAAAAGAAATGAAATGCACCAAAAATGTCTCCACTCAGCTTTAAGTAACAAATTGAAGATAGACATCAATTTGTAAGGCTAATTTTCAGTAGAGCCAGATGACAAACAGCAAAAATAACTATATATATATAATAACATAACAACAAACACAACAAGAAAATAATCAAACCTATTATAATAAAATTTATTGTACTACAGGGATAACATATACACACAGAAAAAAATTAAAAAAGATTGTGCATGTATGTGTTCTTGCATCGAAAGTGTATGATCAATACTGTTTACGCCTGTTTGTCGGATTTCTGCAGTAATACTAATTTATACACCAATAAATATAAAAAAATGGTTCAAAGATGTTTCAAGTCCACCACCAAGTATTGTGCACAGCCTAAGAAGTCTCTCATCGGATTGGATGTTGTTGTAAAAGCAGACATAATAAATTGCAATGGTTTTTCAAAACAGGAAGTTATAAAAAAATAACAAACTGATTTTATTTAAATAATGCAAAGTAAACTTGAGTTAAAAACATTTATGAACAATAATGTAATAGTTAAATTGTAAAGTGTGTATTTGATTTCATTTTGATGTCTGACATACGGTTTAATTGTATTATGTAAATGTATCGATTATAAACAGATGTATTTTACACATTATTAATTTATTTTAGATACAAAATATTATCATAATGAAAAAACAATAAGCAGTTGCCAAAGTTGCAGTGATAAATCATTTTTATTAGCAGCAAATGATTGCCACCACAGTAACATAATCGTACTGCTTTATCAATTACCTTAACTCGAGCACATTCCATCACCATTTCAGCAAGTTGCAGGTTATTATCTTTAGTAAAGATGGAATAGAAATTGCCAAGTTTAAGGCAGAGCCGGCATTTTTCGAGATTAAGTGTCATAATATTGGAAAATTAAGATAAAATAATGTTGAGACAACTCTACAACAAATCCAAAGCCAGTTTGTACTAAAACATCCCATTCAATAAAAATGGTAATGTAACAAAAACAAAAGGTTTTCAAAATTTAATATTAATTAATTAGTTAGGTTTTAAGTCAGCTTATAACTAGCTTTCTATATAAATTGTATTTTGATTTAATTTTTAACTTTTACTTTATAATTATTTACATTTTACATCCTCCTGTCATTTTTAGATTTTTGGCTTGGAAGCTTGGATGCTTATCTTTTAAGCCATGTCTTCATAAATTTCATTCCGGATTTTGTGAAATGTCGATTTTTAAACAATATTTTTTTTGTGATGATTGGCTTATTTCCTATATTGGTCCATCGTGTAAGAGAGTTTGCAGCAGCTACAGTTCACGACCGCAATAAAGGATACAGCCCTAGGTGCTACGACTGTGGGGAAAGGGGCCATCTCCGATCCAGCTGCCCAAGCGAACTATAGAAAAGGAAGGTGATCGATCTCGGGAGGGTAGTGCGGCCAACAGCACCGTCCAGCAGCAGCAGGGAAACGAGTAAAAGCCAGGACTGCGGGGCGGGCTGACTGATATTAAAAGAGCCCCAAGGATCTCGATCTCACAAACCCATGATGGGAACAGTCTAATCAACAAGGGCGAAGTTAACGGAATTCCGTGTAAACTGACCATAGACACTGAGGCCTCTCGCACGGTTGTCAGTTCCCAACTTATAAGTCAGTTCGATCGCAAACGGTTGTGCCGGTTAGTTAGCCTCAGAATCCTGGGCAAGCTAATCGTTGTGTACTCGTGGAAAAGTTAGACAATGACCTTCCATGGAAATTGTCTCAAACCTTGGTCAGAACCACTAACATCTCCGGAGTACGTGTGCTGAACCTTTATGAGCAGGAACAGATTATAGAAAACGGCACCTGGTTGTGGACCGGTTGCGTCGGTGCCAATATCTATCGACTGGGACCCCCAGCAAGGATGCACAAACGAGAGTGACACTTTTAGAAGACCGTCGGAGCGTTCTCTCCCCGAATGAAATGGTCAAGGCGAAGAAGTTGTTACTCAAGTACGCCGATATATTCTCATCAAACGATGCTGACATAAGGAGGACTCAGCGACCAAAAAGATTGCCGGTAGCACGTGAAAACAAAGTGGAAACCATGATTGAGGAAATGGTGAAGGATGGTGTTATTGAATCTTCATCTAGTCCATGGTGTTCACCCGTGGTGCTGGTAAAGAAGAAGGATGGCAGCATGCGGTTTTGTGTTGACTGCCGCCGTCTGAATGACGTTATAAACAAGGACAGCTATCCCTTACCAAGAATTGATGACACGCTGGACATGCTTACAGGAGTAAAGTGGTTTAGCACGCTTGATCTAAAAAGTGGCTACTGGCAAGTTGAAATTGACCCTAAGGACAAGGAGAAAACTGCGTTCTCGACGGGAAAGGGTCTGTGGCAATTTAAAGTAATGCCGTTTGGATTGTGCAATGCTCCAGCAACGTTTGAAAGGCTGACGGAGCTTGTCCTTACCGGGCTAATTGGCGATGCCTGTCTGGTCTACTTGGAAGACATCATCATCGTGGGCCGTACGTTTGAGGAACACCTTCAAAATCTGGAACGCGTGCTCATGAAGATTCAGAGGGCCAACCTCAAGTTGAGTCCGAAGATATGTTCACTATTCAAACGGCAAGTTAACTTTTTGGGGTATGTAGTGTCGGAAGAAGGTATCCGCATGTACCCAGAGAAAATCGCTGCTCTCAAGGATTTGCCGGTTCCAAAAGAAAAGAATGAGGTTAGAGCATTTTTGGGGTTTGTGCTCCTATTATCGGCGATTTGTGAAGAACTTATCAGATATAGCCAAACCTCTGCACGAGCTAACCGAGGAGAAGCGACATTTCTGCTGGGATGAAAGTTGCGATATCGCATTCCAGGAGCTCAAGGACCGTCTGTGCAAAACACCTATTTTGGGGTACCCTGATGCAGGCAAGGAATTTATAGTTGACACAGACACAAGTGATAATGACTTGGCGGTGTGTTTTCTCAACGGAATGGTGATCAAGAGGTTGTGATAACGTACTTCAGCAGGTCGTTATCAAAACCGGAAAGGAACTGTTGTATCACAAGACGCAAATTGCTAGCTGTAGTAAAGTCGTTGAATCATTTTAGCATTTTAGCAAATATCTTCTGGGGCGGAAATTTCACTTACGAACTTACAATGCTGCACTAAAATGGCTATTGTAGTTCAAAAATCCAGAAAGACAAGTTGCGAGGTGGATTGAACTACTGCAGGAATACGACTTTGTGATCGAACATCGCAGCAGGAAATATCATGGCAACGCAGACGCATTGTCAAGAATAACTTGTCCTAAAGATTGCAAGCATTGTACTAGGCAAGAGGGTAAGGAAGTGGTATCTGTGAGGATGCTCAGGACAGACCACCTCAGCAACGAGTGCAAGGACGATTCTGGAATGGATGAAGGCTAGTGCTCCCAAGCCCAAGTGGAGCGACGTTTCAGCGATGAGTTCGACCACGAAAAGCTATTGGGCCCAATGAGACAGATTGCTGCTTCAGGATGGAGTTCTGTACCGTAAATGGGAAAATGGTCGGGGAGACAGCTGTCATTTGCAATTGGTTGTCCCTTAAGCTAAAGTACCGGATGTTTTACAGCTGTACAATAATGATTGTTCAGGAGGCCATCTGGGAGTTAAACGAATTCTCCAGAAGATCCGAGAATGGTTTTACTGGGTCCACTGTCAAAACGATGTCAAGGACTGGTGTCGCAAATGTACAAGTTGTGCGGCTGTAAAGGGACCTCAGACTCGTAGTAGAGGTGCATTGAAGTTGTAGAATTTTGGTCCACCGTGGAAGGGAATAACCATTGACGTGGCGGGGCCGTTTCCGGAAAGTGAAAGTTACTTCACTAAGTGGCTAGAAGTCTTCGCCATTCCAAATCAAGAAGCTTCAATAGTTGCAGATAAACTAGTCCATGAGACTTCATGTTTCCGTCGTTTTGGAGTACCATTAGAGATTCACAGCGATCAAGGGAGGAATTTTGGGTTCCAAATTTCCGGGAAACTTGCCGAGTTACGGGTACTCATAAAACAAAAACGACTTCTTACCACCCGCAATCTGATGGAATAGTAGAACGATTTAATCAGACATTGGAGAGGTACCTAGCCAAAGTTGTAGACAACCGGCAACGAGATTGGGGCAAGTACATACAACCATTTTTGTTGTCATATCGAAGCGCTGTTCACGAAAGTACATCAGTGATACCAACTTTCGTAAGCTTTGGAAGAGAATTACGGCTGCCTGCAGACCTGATCACCGGAATACCACCTGATGCCCCACGTAGTATAACCGACTTGCGGAACATAATGAATGACATTTATGAGCACGTCAGACAATTAGGCCAGGAAATGTCTGAAAAGATGAAAACCCGGTATGACCGCAAAATGAACAACAAGGGTTCGACAAAGGTTCACTAGTGTGGTTGCACAATCCAGTCCGCAGCAAAGGGAAATCTCCTAAGCTTCAAGCTAAATAGGCAGGCCAGTAACAGATTGTGACCAGGATCAACGACGTAACCTACTGGATACAGAAGGTGCAAGTGGTACTCCTAAGATCGTCCATGTGGATCGACTAGCGTGTTACTATGGGGCCGATAATGCTCGGGACGAGCATGTCTAATGACGGGGCAGTGTTGCGCACTACAATTAAGCCAGATATATGGCGGGTTATTATTAGCGCCATCTGGTATCAAGTAGAGGAAATAAGTGTCAAAATCTTTCTAGAACTCTCCCATTAGCGCCATCTAGTATCGAATAGAAGAACTAAGCTTTCTGGGAAAACTCCACACTCAAATTTTCTACACCTAGTCGGTCGAGACCGGTATTTGCTGGAAAATTCTAGATGTTTCGGTGGAAAAGGCCTATATAAAGCCGTTTAGAGCCGCGACCGGGGCACTATTGAATTGGCGACACGAGCGAAGACTTCGGAGCGTAATAAAGTGAACTGAAGTGTTAAGTGTGATTAATTACTAGTGTGTTTTAAGTTTTAGTTGGTGTTCAGTAATTAAAGTGTACAGTAGTTAAAGTTTTATTGTCACGAACCCTAAACTTGTAATACTATTCTTAGCTAAATCTGTGATTCAAACTAACGACACCTGATCCTTTCACTAATGTTTACCGATTTATCGTTTAGGTATATTTTTTAGTGTTTGTCTTTTTCATTATATATATATATATATATTTATTATATATATATATATATATATATATATATATATATATATATATATATCTTTACGGTAAATGTTGATCAGACGCGACTTCACGCGAGCACTTTGTTGATCCAATATACATCTCTGGTAACTAACTAATAAAGTTGATCCGATATACAAATCCACCTTGCGATGGTTACGGAAAATGTTGATCCGATTTAGATGAGCCAATCAGAGTACAGCAAACGATAATATAAACGATCGGATTGGCCGAAAGCAGCCGCGACGTTGCCGTTTCGTATCTTTGGCGGTACAAGCTACAGATAAAATGCGTGTTCAATACAATAATGCATTCTGGGTGCTGTCTCGTTATTGTAATGCGCCGGGTATGTTTGCCGATGCGCGTGTGGATTATTTCTACACCACCATGCGTAAACGATGCACATCCCTGGTGCGCAGGGTGCTTGCCAGTTCCAATGGTATCCTGAGGGCATTTTCTGACAGGTTTGAGGTCAGTACCTAAACCATTGTCATATGGTGCACGTGCTGACTAATCGGGCCTGCCTTAGATATAGTTTTAAAATTAAGAAAATAGTTTTAAATTTTACTAAAATTAGTATTAAAATTTGTATTATTACTAACATCTATGATCCTTGTGGTCGAAATAAACGACTTTTTTTAACGAATAACTCGACAACGCCCCTTCTTGTAGCGGAAGTGACGGCAACGGCGACATAAGGTATTCGTCTGA